TCGTGCACGTCGGCCGTAGGCCACTTGTGCCAGTTTGGCGCCCGGTGGCGAAAAGCCACGCGCATCGTGGGCTGGCGCGTCTCCGGCCTCGATGGCGTTGCAAAGAGGTGCTGCGGTCGCGGCGGCCTCTGCTCTAAGTCTGGCAAATATCACGTTGTCCTCTCCGGCGCCGCCCCAGGGGGGCGCAAGTGGACATCCATCGCCGCCGAGTGCCCTAAGAGATTTGCTAATGTTCTTGCCTCTGCGTTGGTGGCCTCCGCCGAAGCGTGCCGCGACGTCAGGATGGGTCATCTGCTTGGAATTTGATTTGTGTTGTTTGCGATCCCTGCGGGGCTTTCGGCCTCGCGGCCAGTCCGACCTACGGGGTTCGGGAGGTGTCTGTCATTTTCGGCATGCCGGTCTGCTGGCTGCCTGCGCCTCCCGAGCCGCCACCGCGTCTGTTGGGCAGCCTCCGCCTTTCGAGCACTGACGCAAAACATTGTATATCCTATATGCAGGCTGGCCGCCTCCCCAGCATTGCAGTAGCTGCATATTATAAGTTTGGTCGTGCGCGCTAGTGCTCGTCGAAAACCTCACTCTGCGAGGCCTTCGTGGGGGCCAGGGGTGGAGAAAAACACATTCCGCGAGATTTTGGACCGCCAGTTGAAAGAACGACCATTCATTATTCACGATCTCGATGCAGCTTCGGCCAGGATTGAAGAGGATCTGTCCGCAGCTGTCGCAGCAGCAAGCCCGCCGGCGAAAAAAACATGCCACATATGCTCCTGAGGACCACCAGATTCGCCAACTCATACAGGAGAGACGGCAACTACGACATCTTCCCGGCGCCCCACGGGACATGCAAAGAGCACGGCGGAAATCGATTAGCAACGAGATCAAGAAGGTAGCCCGGCGAAAGATGAAGAAGCAGAGGGCTTTGCGCATTGATCGTATTTTACACGACTTCAAAGGCATCAAAGAGATCGCAAATCCGAGCGACAACAAGAAACGGCACCACATTGCCAAGATTGTCGATAGATTTGGCACCCCCAAGGAAAGCAGAGAAGACGCGGCAGAAGTGTTTGCGTCGTTTTACGATGAGTTCTATACAAGTGTTGGGCAATACAGCGTGCCGGACAGACTACCAGGAGGCCACGTGCAGAGTCTCACGTCGGAGGAGCTGACGAATGCTTTGAAAACTATGATTATCCCAGCAAAGCAACCTGACAGCCATGTGTAGGAGCATATATGGAAGCATTCTTCTTTAGATTCTTGTTCGGATTTGACTGGAAGCGACGCGCTGCGATCAATGGTGGACGTGTCTGCAAAGGAGGCGCTACTATCAACGAGACAGCGCGTTCTTTTTGTGCTCATTCCAAACGAGACGCTGCCATGCAGGGGTGTAGGTTCAAACGAGACGCCGCTATCAGTGGTTACCGCCCCAAACGAGACACGAGTATCAGTTGATGTAATTTCGAACGAGACACTACTACATACTACTACGGATGCGCCTGGAAACGAGACGCTGCTATCAATAGTGGATATCTCTACTATTAAAATTCCCCAAGGGGGTCGTCGGAGACGCCAAAGGCGTTGAAGTCCGAGGAGGAGAGGAGAAGGAAAGGACGGAGAGGGGGGGCTCGGAGGCCCCTGGAGGGGGTGATGCGCCCATCCGAGGGAACGGTGCACCCCCCCCCTCCCCGTCGTGAAAACGAGGCAGCAGCCGTGGCAACGACCCCCCCCTATTCCCCCCCGCGACCTGAGTAGACCACCCAAGCCAGCGGGGGGCGTCATAGGGGGCGGGGATTCTGACGTCGATGAAAGAAGGAGGAGGGCGGGAGGCAAGGAACATGCAGACGAAAGCCCTTTTAGGCTTTACCCGGCGCGTGGGCATGCCCTTTTTGGTTGTTGCGGGGGCAAGCCCGCGCGGTCGCCCGCAGGCGACAGGGCGCCCTGGCCCTCTTCGTGAGCGCGCAGGCGCGTGGCGTACTTCATGCGCACGATTGCCCGCTGAAGCGCCCCGCGGCACGACAGCGACGGTAAAAGGACAAATTCGGTGACGCTGGAGCCCCTAATGCGACGAGGAAGTTACAGATGCATCTTCTGTGACACTGGAGCTCCAGCTCAGCCTGCCTCAGGCTCAGCCTGCGTCAGCCTCAGTCACAGCCTCAGCCTGCGTCAGTCTCAGCCTGCTGCGCTCCCGCATACCCCTTCGGCCTCAGCCTGCCTCAGCCTCAGCCTGCGTCAGCCTCAGCCTCAGCCTCAGCCTCCCTCAGCCTCAGCCTGCTGCGCTCCCGCGTACTCCTGCGGCCTCAGCCTGCATCAGCCTTAGCCTCGGCCTCAGCCTCAGCCTCAGCCTCAGCCTGCCTCAGCCTCAGCCGCACCTCCGATGGCGCCGAGGTGGCTCCCGTGCGCACCTGCGCCCACGGAACTCACCTCCGATGGCGCCGAGGTGGCCCCCGTGCGTACCTGCGCGCACGGAACGCTTCTCCGATGGCGCCGAGGTGGTTCCCGTGCGCACCTGCGCGCACGGAACGCACCTCCGACGGCGCCGAGGTGGCCCCCGTGCGTACCTGCACGCACGGAACGCACGTCCGATGGCGCCGAGGTAGCTCCCGTGCGTGCCTGCGCGCACGGAGCGCGCTTCCGATGGCGCCGAGGTGGCTCCCGTGCGTATCTGCGCGCACGCAGTGAGCTCCGCCGGATTCTCCCGGTTTCTGCCGGCTTCCGCCCCGGCCCCCCTTCAGTGCCATGATGCTGTCTTTTGACCGTACTAGAAACCTATCAGCGCAAGCTGTTAGGTAAAAGCGGCAAATGCAGAGACGCAGCAGGCATAGTTGCCGAAATGTTGAAACAAAGCAGCCCGAACATGCGCAACTGTATTTTGATGCTCTTCAAAGAGGTGATCAAGCCGGACCGGGGGCCGCCGAAGTCATGGAGACATGCAAGATTGGTCGTGCTATTCAGAAAAGGAGACCCCGAATTGCCAAATAATCATCGCCCAATCGCCATCCTCCCGATGTTGGACAAGCTTTTCAGCCGCATGGTGTGCAATCGCTTGCAAGCGAAGCTGATCGCACGCCAGTCGCCAGACCAGGCAGCCTACCGCCCGGGCTTCTCAGCGGATGATCATTTACACGCATGGGCGCTCACAGTGGAAAAAATGCGACGAGTGGCAGCAAGATCTTTGGCTTGGCTTGGTGGATTTCGAGAAAGCCTTCGACGCCGTAGAGCACGACTCCTTGTGGGATGTGTTGGGGGAGTTTGCTGTGGAAGAGCCGCGCATCTCGCTTCTCAAGAAGCTGTGCCGTGGACAGACAGCATCAGTTATTGCAGGGGCGGAGTCTCGCTCATTTTGCTTGGCAAGAGGAGTAAAACAAGGTGGCCCAATCAGCGCTCTTCTGTTTATAGCAATAATGGAATATTGCTTCACGTTGCTCAAGAGCAAGTGGCGCCACCTGAACAGTAGACGAACAGGGCAATACTATGGTTTTGTTGTCGACGACCCGAACGAGCCTCTTACAAATCTTCGGTTTGCCGACGATGTATTACTCTTCGCGCAAAGCAAGAGGGACGCCGCGAAAATTCTAGATCATTTGAGAACCCACACTGCTCGGTACGGATTGCGGCTGCACTTGGGGAAAACCGAAATACTGACGAACAGTGCGTGCGCGGAGGAGACTTTCACTTTTGTCGGCGGTTCTGAAGTACAGATTATCTCACCAGGGGGGATCAGAGAAGTATCTCGGTCGGGTGGTGAACCTTGCACATTATCATGAAGCAGAACTCACAAGTCAAATGTCCTCGGCATGGAAATTCTTTGCGAAAATCTAAGCATGTCTTGTGCTCCAAGAGGTACCCCTTGTCAGCTAGATTGCAGTTGTTCGAGTCTGTCATGGCATCAACGGCGCTCTATGGCAGTTCTTGCTGGACGGTCTGGGCCAAGACACACAGGGTACCCCGATCAACATGGACACAGATGATGAGGAATATGTACCATATTCCAAGGAAGCATGATATGTGGGTGCCCTACATCAAAAGATCGACCAGGCTTTGCGCGCGCATGGCAAAAGAGCGCGGTTTACGTGATTGTGTTGACATCCAGCAATCACGAAAGGCAGACTATTTTTCGCAGCGACAACGACGGCAACGAAAAGTGGAACAGAAGGCTCATGCACTGGACGCCGTGGTTCCGAAACTTTCCCACCAGGCGCACAGGGCGACCCTGCAAGCGGTGGTCTGACATGTGAGGCGCCGTGTTCTTCCCCCCTTCCCTCCCTCCTCCTCCCCCTCTTCCTCCTCCTTTCCTGTTTGGCAGGCAATTGCCTCAGTCTGTCATGCCATGCCATTTTCCGCTCGGTCTGCCCAGGCGCCGTTCTCCGACGCCGCAAAGGGCCCGGCCCATGTGGCCGGTCAGCAGACCGCTCTGTCTGTCTGTCTTCCTCCCCCCCCCTCCTCTTCCGCCGCCGCCGCCGCCTCCTCCTCGTCCTCCTCCTCCTCCTCCTCCGCCGCCGCCGCCTCCTCCTCCTCCTCCTCCTCCCACCCCCTTCCTTCCTCTTTCTCCTCCTCCTTCTCCTCCTCCTCCTCCTTTTCCTTCTCCTCCTCCTCCTCCTCCCATTGTCAGGGCTCGAGGCAGACGGATTAGGGTGATCTCGTGGGCCGTGTTCGTCTAGATCTCTTAGGCTGAGCGAGGGCAGAGCGAGGGAAGACGTCAACAAAACGAAGGCGGAAAACACTCTGGGGCTCGAATCCTGGGGGGTGATCCGCCTCAGTCTTCGTGTCCCATCCCTGGGGAAGCCAACAGGTACCGGAACCGCTTTTCCCCAGACCTCACTTGGGGTGCGTTCTGACTAGGATTTCGAGGCGAATACAGCGGTGGCGACGAGGCCCAACAAGGGGAAGACGATGGGATGGTCGTAGTATGGGTACCTTTTCCTCCTCTGAGTCCCTCCTACTCGGGCACAGGGGGGAGGGAGGAGGAGGCGGAACAGTACTGCAGTGTGTTGCTGGTGCCCCCCGAGGCGCAACAGCAGTACATGCTGCCGGCGCTCATGTACCTCGTGCGCATCTCCAGTGGGAACAACGAGGAGCCCACCGGCCACGAAGAGAGGGCGTTCGCGCCGTGAGCGAATCACGACGGGCTGTTTGGAGCAGTTTTCCGCTTCAGGGGGCCCTTGCTAGGCTTCGGGGCCGTCCAACGGTTATCCTGGCCTCACCGTGAAGAGAAGGGGAGGGAGAGGAAGAGGAGCAGGAGTAGAGTGCAGGAGGAGGAGGAGGAGGAGGAGGAGGAGGATTGGACGCCACAAGCTTGATTTTCAGGTCCGAACAACGTCAAAAAGGAGGAGGAGGAGGAGGAGGAGGAGGAGGAGGAGGAGAAGGAGGAGTCGACACGCCACTGCCCTACCAACCGTGTAGCGCGCTCTCCCGCAGTCTACTCTGGAGCCACATCTCTTCTGTCTCTACTGTGGTTCCTTTTTGGCTACCCTTCTAGAGTGCGGCCACAGCTTGGGCCATATATATATATATACACATATATATATATTATCCTCGAGGCATTGCTCTTTTCTCTACTGAGTTTGTTGACCGTTACCATTTCGGCACGTCGGGAGGCGAAGTCACTCCTACTGTGGTCTCCGGGCATCAGCTTATCCTACATTCCACTCGCCCCTGCTTCCGTCATACATGCCACTCGATGACCATCATTTCTTCTGGTCATTCGTTCGATTCACGTCATTCCCCTCCTCCCGGACAGCCTGGCTGGCGCATATTCTTGCTCTCGAGGGCCTATTGTTTCTTGCTTCACCTATTGCGCCTGTCTTTTAGTTCAGCTGCGCAAGCCAGGTGTAGGTTGCTGTTGCAAGCCTAAGTCGTTGTTTCCCACACGCACGCTTCAGGCTTAGTCCCCGAGTTCGTGCAACGTCAAACAATCGAGGAGGAGAGCAGGAGGAGGAGGAGGGGGGAGGATTAGGAGGGATCGTTGGTTGAGAGTCTGTTTTTTGCTTTTCGTTGTCTTTGCGCCTGCAGAAGTTCCCTCGTCGCCACGGCTGGAGCCGCCCTGAATGGAGGCAAAGGGGTTCCGAGGTTTTCGCCGTTTTCGGCCTCCCAGGGTCAGAGACCCGTGCGCCATCTTGGAGGCCATCTTGAGCTGCAGTGGAGGCCCATGCCAAGAACTTCCCCGCTTGCCTCCAGGGGTGCCCTGGGTTTCCTGGGTGTCCATGGTCTTGCTGTGGAAAGCGCGGCGCTTCTATACCAGAAACCAGTGGACGTCCTGGGGTCTCAGGGTTATGTTTCCTGTGGAAGGCTTCTTGTGGTCGGGCCCCCGCTATATCTGACAGCATCTTAGAGCCATGTTGGCCCGAAAGCCTCCCAAGGCTCCCATGCGTGTTTGTTCGGTGCGTTTGCCTTTGAGCGTAGGGGGGCGGCGCCAATTAGGGTTGCCCCTCTTGGCCTCGAGAAGCCGCCTCTAAGGGCGATCTTGGGGCGATCGTGGAGCTCTGATGGGCCCCCTTCCGGGGTTCTTGGAGCCATCTTGGGCCAAGAAGGACTCCCTGTCGCCTCGCGCCCATGCTCCCGATGGATTTCGGTATGTGGAGACACCGGAACTCTTCAGTTGCCATGGTGGAGCCGGTGTGCCAGTAATCCTCGCCTCCCCAGTCGCCATGGAGACGCTCAGGGGCCAGATCGCTGAACTGAAGGATCTCAGGGTGCGCACCAGAGGGCTGGCCTGAATGATGAAACATTGTTTGTGCCGCCGCATGTCCTGGTGACAACCTAATGCCCTAGCCTGGGCGCCCCCTCCCCTTTGCCCTTCCCCCCGCTCCCAGCAGGGCCCACTTCGATCCAATCGGTCCGGTTCGATATCGGCTCTGTCTGGCCAGAATCGATTCGATTCCGATTTTCGTGCGATCCGATGCGGCGCTATTCTTGCATGGCGCTGTTGCGTATCCTGGCGCCGCAGATTCGATTCGATTCTGACTCCGTGCTGATGGGGTACGATTCGATACGCGTCCCGATTCGATCCGGCAGCCCTTCACGGGCGCGGACTCTCCGTATGCCGCTCGCTTCGCCTCGCCTCCCGATTCGATCCCGATCCGAATTTCCGACTCGTTGTTGATTGTTCGCATTCCTAGGAGACGTTTAAGATTTGCGTCGAGTTTTGGCACACGTTCAGCGCGCGCCTCTACATCGAGCTGCAGCAGAGCAAGCAGCACCAGCGGGGGCACTCGCCGCTGATGCTCGACGGTCAGCGGGAGGAGGAGGAGGAGGAGGAGGAGGAGGAGGAGGAGGAGGAGGAGGAGGAGGAGGAGGAGGAGGAGGAGGAGGAGGAGGAGGAGGAGGAGGAGGAGGAGGGAGGAGGAGGAGGAGGAGGAGGAGGAGGAGGAGGCGGAGGAGGAGGAGGAGGAGGAGGAGGAGGAGGAGGAGCAGGAGGAGGAGCAGGCGGAGGAGCAGGAGGAGGAGCAGGAGGAGCAGGAGGAGGAGGAGGGATCGATGGTCGAGAATACGGATACGTTTTTACGTTTGCCGGCTGTTCTGCTCATGCAGGAGTTCCTTCGTCTCCACGGGTGGATCTGCCTCGAAGTCCTGGTCAGAACGCGCCCCTTGAGAGGACCAGGGGAGATTGCTTTAGGGGAGGAGAAGAAAGAATCGCCACGAGGAAGGGGAGGGGGGAGGATGAGGAGGATGAAAGACTGGTAAAGTCCAGCGCCTGTTCTGCCGAACCTTCTGAGCGTGAAGCGCTCCCTGCCTCAGGGTGCGAACGAAATAGTGTTTTTGCGATCTTGTGAACCGCTATCAGTTTGAACTCGTTGTTCTGCAAAGGCAGAACGATGACAAACAACGAAGGAACACGACAACAACACGAACCCGAAAAACACGATTTAGCTCGAGCCCAGTTCTGCTGTATTTGTTGGCGTGGCCCTTGTGCGGCCACTGAGATGTTCTGTCTTGCTGCACCCTGCCAGGCCGCTCGGGTCCTCCCGGGACGGTCCTTGGGTCGACGGCAGTGATCTGTTTCTCTCTTTTGCTCACTAGTGCCACGAGACCCGTGCCCTGACGCAATCAATTTCAGAGGAGGGAAGCCTCCAGAGAGGCCTCCTGCCTTCGTAGAACCCCCCTCCCCGCCTTCTAAGAGGGATGCCCCCCTCGCGCCCGCCTGCGCGCGCAGGCCCTTATGAAGTCGGGCCGCCGAAGGAAGGAACGACACATAAGGAGCAAAGCTTTTTTTCCGAGGAGGAACAGGTACCCGTACCGCTCCCCTTTCATTTTTTTCCATGTTTGGGGGCCTCCTGGGAGGGCCCCGTCGCCCCCGCCGGATTCGCCTCGGAATCCTGGTCAGAACGCATCCCAGGCTCCCCCTCCTCCTCATTGTGCTCTCCTCTTCCTCCGCCCTCCTCTTCACTCCTCCTCATCCTCATCCTCATCCTCTTCCTCCTCCACCTCCGTACATACCATAAATAACCGCATGCCGACAATAATAAAGGGACCCCCCCCCTTCAGTGTTTAGAGTTGATTATCGTCGCCCTATACAAAATTCAAATTGGGCGGCGAGCGCTGAGGCCGAACTTCATTATCACCTCGAAACGCTATGTTAAGATAGCAACATCAAGCGATGTTGATATAGCAACATCAAGCGAAGCGATCACACTTTTTCAGGATGTGTCAAGCGAAACCAATAATTTTGGGAGGCAGACTCAAACGAAACGAGCAATGTTATTATTATTATTCTACTTTCCTCTTCTTCTTTTATATTTCTATCTGTCCTCACGCTCGCCTGAACTTTTTTATCCCTGGGGTTGATTATCCATGGAAAATGAAGCACATGAGCTACCCTACACGAGCACTTAAAAAAATCAATTTTCATAAAGCGTTTGTAAATTAAAATTGATAGATTTGGAACTTTGGATTGTTCCTTTCTTCGTCCTCTTCTTATTATCCTCTTCTTCTTCTTTCTTATTATTCTTCTACTGTATTATTCTTCTTTTATATTTCTCTCTGTCCCCACGCTCGCCTGAACTTTTTCATCTCTGGGGTTGATTATCCATGGAAATTGAGGCACATGAGCTACCCTACACGAGCACTTACAAAAACAATTTTCATGAGAGATAAGCCATTGTTGAGGATATTTCTATGAAAACTAAACGCCAAGGATGTCTCAAAACGTGCTCGGCTTGGTCTCCTCTTGATCATCTCTTACTTCGAGATTATGCTGAGGTCTGCTGGGCTACTTTTATTATCTCTCCCTGAACCCCGAACTTTATTATCCCCTAGTGTTTATTCTCACGGGCATGAGGTTATCCACGCCAGGGCTCGAGCTAAGCGGTGTTTTGGAGGTTTCGCGGACTGGTTTCGTTTTGATTCCGTGTTGCAGCAAAGGCGGAACGAAACCAGACCGAGGAAAGCCGGAAACATAAGGAAAGCGAACAACATTGCTTAGCTCGAGCCCTGACCCACGCCCTGGCGCAATCAAATGGCGCGCTGTTTTGTCCGTATTTACACTTCGCGTATCCCACCAGCCCATTAAGAAACGCTGCCGATGAGAGCTGAGCATCATGAGACCCTCTTAGGGGTCCTCTCGAGACTCTGGGGGCCCTCTTGGGGCCTCTTTGGGGCTCGTTTGGGTGGTCTTGGGAGGTCTTTGGGCCCTCTTGCACACCTCTTGGGGTACCCTTTAATGCCTTGGAGGGCCTCTTGGGACCATCCTCGAGGCCAAGGGGAGGTCCCTTGCCTAGTCCCCCCTCTCGTCAGCCCTCAAAACCGTCTCGTGGGCCCTTCTTGGGACGCTCTTGGGGCCGTCTGGGGGCCTCTTGGAGGCTATCTTGGGACCATCTTGAGGCCTCAGAAGCCTATCGGGCGCGAAGCGGCGAAGTGATTTGTCATTGGTTGTTGACTGATTTGAGGACTCCAGCGGGGATCCCTGGCTGGCTCCGAGAGCACTTGGAGCCGTCTTGTGGCCATGCCATCTTGGGGCCTCTTGCAGGTATGTCGGAAGCTACCTTGAACCATGTTCGTCAGGGTGAGGGGGCCGAACGGACATTCACTGTCCCTGGACGCGTGGCTGACGTGAGGTTCTGCGGGGCGGATCGTTGTTGTTGTTTGTGTTGTTGTTCTTGTTGGTGTTGTCCTTGTTGTTGTAATTGTCGTTATTGTCGTTGTTGTTGATGCTGATGTTCTTGTTGTTGCTGTTGTTGCTGTTGCTGTTGCTGTTGATGGTGTTGGTGCTGTTGTTGGTGTTGCTGTTGTTGTTGGCGTTGTTGTTATTGTTGTTGTGCTGCTGCTGTTGATGTTGCTGTTATTGTTGTTGCTGTTGTCGTTGTTGTTGTTGTTGTTGTTGTTGCTTATGCTGTTGTTGTTGTTGTTGTTGTTGTTGTTGTTGTTGGTGGTGTTGTTGGTGTTAGTGTTGTTGGTGTTGTCGTTGTTGTTGTTGGTGTTGTTGTTGTGGTTGTGGCTGTTGTTGTAGCCGAACCACTCACTGGCGCCCGCCCCAAGCCCCCCCCCCCCGGCGCAACGCAACGCAACGCAACGCAATGCACGTTACCCCGAATCCTACAGGATTCCTTTGTGGGAATCCTATAGGGTCTCTGCGAACCCTAGAGGAATCCCACAGGAATCCTATTATAGGAATCCCATAGGGCCTCTGGCCTCACAGGGAGCTCCTCCGAAGGTTCATTTCGGCACACCCCCCGCTCGAGGATCGTGGCCCTGGCCTCAGAGGGAGCTCCTCCGAAGCTTCATTTCGGCACAACCTTCTCGAGGATCGTGGCCCTGGCCTCACAGAGGGTTTCTCCGAAGCTTCATGTCGGCACACCCCTCGAGGATGATCGTGGCCCTGGCCCCACAGGGAGCTCCACCCACGCCTCATTTCGGCACACCCCTCTCGAGGATCGCGGCCCTGGCCGCACAAAGAGCTCCACCGAAGCTCCATTTCGGCACACCCCTCTCGAGGATCGTGGCCCTGGTCCCACAGGGAGCTCCACCGAGTCTTCATTTCGGCACACCCCTCTCGAGGACCGTGGCTCTGGCCCCACAGGGAGCTCCACCGAAGCATCATTTCGGCACACCCCTCTCAAGGATCGTGGCACAGACGCCACAGGGAGGCCCACTGAAGCTTCATTTCGGCACACCCCTCTCGAGGATCGTGGCCCTGGCCCCACACGGAGCCCCACCGAAGCATCATTTTGGCACAGGTCTCTCGAGGATCGTGGCCCTGGCCCCACAGGGAGCTCTTTTCGTTCCCGTGCCAGCCCAGCTTCTAACACGCCTCTGCCGTGCAGGAGGCACGGCGGCGGATTTGACTCCCGTGGCTCTGGTGGCCTTGCTCCCGGAGGGCCTCCAAACGGCCCAAGAAAGCCCCCGAAGGCCCCCCAGAGGACCCCCCGAGCGCCCCAAGAGACCCCCAAGAGGCCCCCAAGGGGCGGCCAGAGGCCCGCCAGAGCGCCCAAAACGCCCCAAGAGACCCCCAAGAAGCCCCCCAGGGGCTCCAAAGAGGCGGCCAGAAGTCCCCCAGAACGCGCGAAAAGGCTCCAGGAGTTCCCTGAGAGCTTCATATCGCCCCATAGAGCCCCCGAAGGCCCCCCCCGGGACTCCCCCAAGAGGCCCCCGAGAGGCCAGAGGCTACGACAGCCCCAAGAGCGTCCAAGATACCTCCAAGACGGCGCCGAAGCCAGGAAACGCAACAGGGATGTTCTCTGACGTTCTCGCCAATACGGTCTCTGACGCACGTGGTGGATAAAAAACTGCGCTTCCCGTTCTTGTCCGGTCAGGTTTGACTCCCGTGGCTCTGGTGGCCTTGCGGCTGACGTGGGCACGCTCCTATCCCTCTCTTCATTTGTGGTTCAAGCCATTTGGGCATGCGCCTCCCCCCTCTGGGGCAGGCCCCTGAGGCCCTGAGGCATGCTAAAGCATCCCTCGGATTCTAGAGCATCCCTCAGGGATTCTAGAGAATCCCTTTAAGGATTCTATAGCATCCCCTTAAGGATTCTATAGCATCCCCTTACGGATTATATAACATCCATTCTATAGCATCCTTCAGGGATTCTATGGTATCCCTTAGGGATTCTATGGCACCCCTGAGGGATTCTATAGCAGCCCTTAGGGATTCCATAGCATCCTTTACACATTCTATAGCATCCCCCAGGGATATTACAGCATCCCTTAAGGATTCGACCGCATCCCCATAAGGATTCTATAGCATTCCTTAGGGATTATATAGCAGCCCTTTGGGATTCTATAGCATCCCTTAGGGGTTCCGCAGCCTCCCCTGAGGGATTCTATCGCATCCCTTGAAGATCATATGACATCCCTTAGGGGTTCTATAGCCTTCCCGAGGGATTCTAAAGCATCCCTGAAGGGTTCTGCAGCCTCCAATGTAAGGATTCTATAGCACCCCTTAGGGATCACATAGCCCTCTAGGGATTCTATAGCATCCCTCAGGGATTATATTGCATCCCTTATGTATTATATTGCATCCCTCAGGGATTGTATAGCATCCTTTCTAGGGGTTCTATAGCATCCCTTAGGAATTCTATGGCAGCCCTAAGGGATTCGATGGCAGCCCTTCTAGGGATTCTATAGCAGCCCTGAGGGATTCTGTGGCATCCCTGAAGGATTCTATTGCGTCCCTGATTCTATAGCACCCCTCAGGGATTCTGCAGCCTCCCCTTAGGGATTCTGTAGTATCCTTTTTAGGGTTTTTGCAGCCTGCCTTCAGGGATTCTGTAGCATCCCTTAGGGATTCCATAGCAGCCCTCAGGGATTCTGTAGCAGCCCTTCGGGATTCTATAGCATC